CTCTAATAAACAATTAATGTGTAACCTGTCGAAACTCTGTCGATTGATTTCTGGAGGAGTTTCTCCCGCAACCTTAACCATAATTATAATGGGAAAAATAAATAAATTAAATTTACACTTCAAATATCTTTGTTTGAAATCCTATTTAAAGTAATAGTATGAAAAACAATAATTAAATTAATAACTACTCAAAACCTAAAATTGTCTGAAATGAATAGTATTTAACTATTGCACCTAAATTTATTATCCCAAAAGTTGAAATATGTATAATGAATGTCCAACTCCATGTCAAGATTTTCTTAAAGTGTTATTTGTTTACCCTGGCAAAAAATAATGGTTTTTTCACATACTTTTTATTTTTTATAATTCAAATAAATGGTTTGATTAAATAGTCAAGTTTATGCGTGCAAGCATGATTTTTTTCCATATAAAATTCCATGTTGATTGAAAAAATTTTATAGTGGGTTACATTTGACCCAGTAATAGCCGCGGGTCACTGCGTAACTACAGGGGGTTGGAAAATTGAGTGCGTTACATAAAAAAGATGCACATTTTGATCACCACCAAAAAACTTTTTTATTTGTCCATATGACTATTCAAAATACTTATGCTCAATGACTATTTGAAATTCCGTCTATTACCAAAAGTATTTTGAATACTCATAATTCTTTTTGGATATTTGATTATTTAAAAAGGATTAATGATCAGAAACACCAGTTTATACCATAATCCTGTGCATGACATTTAAAGAGATGAAAGTAGTTCTCCCAAACCTTTCCAGATCCAGCAAGATCCAGCCATTCATGCATGCCTTCATTAAGGTTTGAAAAAGGAGAGTAAATCTGTGAGCAAGATAAATTAATTCACTGATCTTTTATCAACCAGGGGATTTTCATATAAAATCATAGGGGCAAATTTCATAATAAATTTACTAATGTCCAAACTAAAATACAAATCCACCTTGAATTAAATTTGTTATTTATTTTATTGTTATTATTTATTATTCTCGAAAAATGACAACCTCACATACATCAGCAAACACCAACCAACAAAACATATGTGTAACATTTTTTTTATATTGACGCTCAATTGTTTTAAAGTAGGGGTGGGACTCCATTTACACTGCTAAACCTATAAGATATTTTTAATAATTATTATTAGATCAGACAATAGATAGTAAAAAAAATGTTTCATCAACATTTGATCCAATATGCAGGTATAATTTTATTTTTTATATTTTAATCAATGATTGAAAATATAAACTTCACTTATCTACTGAATTTTTAGCTGGTAATGAACCACTTGAATCGGTCTTTGAACTTCCCAAGGGTTGGGCACTGAAAAGCAACCAAAAATATGGACAAAAAGGTGGTGGTAATCATATGCCTGTGCAAATTACAAGTTTGTTGGAAGGTTTCTTTTTAGCTGGAGAAGCAGATAGAACAAGAAGATACACTGCTGAAACTATGTTGGAAGAGTTGAACGTTATGGTGGAAGAAGAAGGCCAGTTTGATAAAAGTGAAGTTCCAAAACTCCAAACTATAAAATGCAAAAAGAACCTTGAAAGAAGTTGGTATTCCCATTGAAATGAGTAGAAAACGTAGTAATTCTAACACTATTATAGGGGAAAATTGATCAACATACTTAATTTCATATATAAAATATAAAGCAAAAACCTTCAAATGGTGACTTTGTACATAACTTTCTTTTTTTCTAACATATAATAAAGATTTTTTTTTGATTTTCATGTTTTTTCACATTTATCCTATTTTTTTGCACAAAATTTGGTGTGATATGAATTTTGTATGTTGTATAACTATTTCACAAACACAGTTGATTATTTCCTTCAATTAGTAAATATGCCCAAATTTTTATATGTAAATCCCCTGCTTCGTACACGTTTCACCAATTAATATTTTAATATTTTATGTTACCTTTTTTATCCTCAAATTGAATGTCGATCATATTGTAAAAGGGCGTTATCTTTCAAGATTTTACAGTACTACCTATTGAAATATAATTTATTGTCATCATAATTATCATATATTTGCTTTAGTGTTATTAGCTCTATTATTATTCTTATAGTTTATTGGATAGTTGGCTCATAATGAGCAGGCATAAGAATTGTTCATTATTTAATAGAAATTTATTAAATCATCTAAATAACAACATAATTATACAGTGTCTTGTTTTTGTAAATTACTACCACACTACAGTACAATGGAGTGTCAACTTACAGAATATCAATATATTTACCAGCATTTAACAGATAATACATTAGTTTTAAAATTTTCTATTTGTATTTCAGTTACATTTCTTTATAAATGCACTTCAGAAAACATTAGTCATTACATGACAGTGTCAAAATACTTTGAGCCACATGTATAACCATGAAGCTGAAAAGCAAAAACAATTATGAGGACTGCTTAAGGGTTCTTGAAAATGTCTGCAATACAAGCACTTCCATTGCCAGAGGAAGCAAAGAAGAACATTGGTGATCTTGAATTTTTTTGGAATAAGAAGAATTGGAAATCATTTTCAGTTTTGAGGTAGTTTTCAAGTTTCAAGATATCTCATGTGCTCATGTCTGTTAAGAGAATTTCATCTACCATCATTTGAGGAATAAAGTGTAGTGGCATTCAGGATCTATTATATGTAAGGCTCCTAATGGCTTGGTTTGAGCTGGTTTGATGAATAAACCAAACCAAATTTATTTTTAAACCAATAAAAATTTAAAAATGATAATGTTACTAGAATTATAAATTAATGCTAATTCATCAGTCAAAATTCTCTAATTCCGCATTAATAATATTCCATTTTATTTATTTCATATAACATTACAGTCAACCCCCTCCAAGTGGGAATGAGTGATAGCATGCACTTAGAGAAATAAAAATTTATTACTGTATATTAATTATTATAACATTAACCATTATCACAAAAAAAAAAAATTTATATAATTATTGATTAATTTGCAGATCTTTTATCAACCAGGGGATTTTCATATAAAATCATAGGGGCAAATTTCATAATAAATTTACTAATGTCCAAAATGGCAACTTCGTGACACAGCTTTTTTTATTTTATATGATAAAATTCTAATTTTTTTTTATTTTCAACATCGTTAACTAAAATACAAATCCACCTTGAATTAAATTTGTTATTTATTTTATTGTTACTATTTATTATTCTCGAAAAATGACAACCTCACATACATCAGCAAACACCAACCAACAAAACATATGTGCAACATTTTTTTTATATTGATGCTCAATTGTTTTAAAGTAGGGGCGGGACTATATGGTATTCCATTTACACTGCTAAACCTATAAGATATTTTTAATAGTTATTATTAGATCAGACAATAGATAGTAAAAAAAAATGTTTCATCAACATTTGATCCAATATGCAAGTATAATTTTATTTTTTATATTTTAATCAATGATTGAAAATATAAACTTCACTTATCTACTGAATTTTTAGCTGGTAATGAACCACTTGAATCAGTCTTTGAACTTCCCAAGGGTTGGGCACTGAAAAGCAACCAAAATTATGGACAAAAAGGTGGTGATAATTGTATTCCTGTGCAAATTACAAGTTTGTTGGAAGGTTTCTTTTTAGCTGGAGAAGCTGATAGAACAAGAAGATACACTGCTGAAATTATATTGGAAGAGTTGAACATTATGGTGGAAGAAGAAGGCCAGTTTGATAAAAATGAAGTTCCAAAACTCCAAACTATAAAATGCAAAAAGAACCTTGAAGAAGTTGGTATTCCCATTGAAATGAGTAGAAAACATAGTAATTATAACACTATTATAGGGGAAAAATGATCAACATACTTAATTTCATATATAAAATATAAAGCAGAAACCTTCAAATGGCGACTTTGTACATAACTTTCTTTTTTTCTAACATATAATAAAGATTTTTTTTTGATTTTCATGTTTTTTCACATTTATCCTATTTTTTTGCACAAAATTTGGTGTGATATGAATTTTGTATGTTGTATAACTATTTCACAAACACAGTTGATTATTTCCTTCAATTAGTAAATATGCCCAAATTTTTATATGTAAATCCCCTGCTTCGTACACGTTTCACCAATTAATATTTTAATATTTTATGTTACCTTTTTTATCCTCAAATTGAATGTCGATCATATTGTAAAAGGGCGTTATCTTTCAAGATTTTACAGTACTACCTATTGAAATATAATTTATTGTCATCATAATTATCATATATTTGCTTTAGTGTTATTAGCTCTATTATTATTCTTATAGTTTATTGGATAGTTGGCTCATAATGAGCAGGCATAAGAATTGTTCATTATTTAATAGAAATTTATTAAATCATCTAAATAACAACATAATTATACATGAAGTTGAAATTAAAACCCAAAGTCGTAACTTTTTGACTTGAGGCAACTACATAGTAAAAATCAGTTTCGACCTTATTTTGACCCTATTTTGACCAGATCTGCAAATGGTTGAAATAGTTTCGACTTCATGTATAAACATAATACATAGTTGTGTGATTTTTTATTAATCTCTGCCTAAATAAAATATTTTTAAACCCAGTTAATTAACCAGTTGGGGGTTTTTTGACTGGTTCCAACCTCTAGTTTTGGAAACCAATAATACGTAGCTTTAATAATAAAAAACAAGCTTCAACTTGATTTGATTGTCTTATTTATTATTTTTTTAAATTGTTTATTAATTAAATATAAATGTTATAATATGAAAATTTACATGCACTCTCTTGAGAACCTAATCTATAATTGATATAATTTACTTATTTTAATATATAAAAATGAGGGAAATTCTAAGGCTCAGCCAATTTTAGTTTGAGAAAAATCTAACTGATAAGTTTTGAAGCTTGGGTCATGAATGATAAAACTTATTGCTTAACTTTTCCAAAATGATATAAGAATTTTTTGCTTTAATATTTTGAAGTGACCAATTGTTACTATAATAACAATGACATTGTATAAAATTCAATGGGAAATTATTGTAAATTTGTATACTGGATTTCTACAAACTAAATCATCTAAAATTTTCAATAAAATATATTCATTAAAGGGTGTTATACATTGGACATGGGGATTCTCTAGCAAAAGGTGACTCAAGTGTTCTCTGACAAAAATTGAGTTTTTTGCATGCTGTATATTTATATTACAAGGATCATAACTGGTAAAAAAATCAGGTCATCTTTACTTGGTAAAAAAATAAAGTTTAGGTAAAGGATATCTTTATATGGATTATCTACATACTGACAATTGTTGATATATAAATATTTTTTCTGGTCTTCTGATAAAGGGTCAAAACTTGTACTCTTAAAAAGGTTATAAGAATACTTTTAACCAATAATTAACCTAATTGTCAAGCTTAAACATGTCTAGTTAGCATAACAAAAAACGTGTCTCATGTTTTGAAATATATAGGTATAAATTTTTGTAAGGATCAGTTTGTTACATTATTATGGGATTTTAAAATACTACAACATTTATTCATTCAATAATTAAACATTGTATTTGCATAATAAGCAATGGATCTCATGTTTGGAAATATATATGTAACTTATTGTAAAGATTAGTCAAATATTTATTGAGAAAATAGAAATTTTGATATGTAGTGACAAAGGTCGTCGTAATATATTAAATATGTGATTAATGATGTTAACCAGTAGAAAAAATTTGGCCGGCTATATAAGCCGAACAGCTCTTGACCAGCTAAGAACTCAAATAACTCTCAGTTGATGAAAAAACTTTTAAGCTTGCAGGTATTATTACTGCTACTATGTTATTATTACTATTGTTATTATTATTATTGTCATTGTTACTATTTGATGGTTTGAATAAGGTTTATTGGAATTACATTGAATAAACAAATAAAACAAATAAGAATTTATATTACAAATAGAACTCTAACTGAAAGTTGTTCATTCAATGAAAGGAAAATATAATTATCGTTTTTAATAATAATTGATTTTTTTAAAGAAAAATATATTATAAAAATGATTATAATAAAATATAATATACCTTTCAAATGATCAAATGAGTAGAAGCTTTGTCAATATACCAGTCAATTCAACAATGTAATCAGCTTGGAATTTGAGTTGGATTTTTTCAGCACAACAAAATTTTCCATCCTTGACTCCCACTTGCCCTTTATATTTTCCACAAGTAGAATCATATCATAGTAAAAGCAAACAACAATATTAAAATTGTTTGATTAATATTAAAGAACATTTGATCCAAATTTCCCAATAATCAAAAAAAGATTAATACAAAAAACAATAATAAAAGATGAATGCAACAATAATAATAAAATAAGATAACAAACAATAAATCATCAAATTCCAAAGAATCTGTATAAATAAAGATGAAATTTTTCTTTTATCAAATTCTTACACAATTAAAAAATTCCATGATTAAAACCTTTGAAAATGTCTCAACAACAACAACAACAACAACAACAACAACAACAACAACAATCATCATCGTCCATTAAAAAACATGTATATATCTGATTTAAAATTATTTGATTTTAATATAAAACATAATAAAGGGTGCATAATTTGCATAATTTACCAAATGTTGCATGCATAAGTTAATGGAGAATACGTGGTATTGCATATCTACTTTTTATGGTAGGACTTTCCAACTTTTTTATTAACTTTACCCAAAAACTTTATTATAATAATCCAAAATTCAAATTCATTTCATCAATATCAATAATATCATTTTATTTCATAATAATTTCACATTATACATATATATAACACAAGATGAGTTCGTTTTATAAAAATGATCGGATGATCTAATATAAAGTCCTGTTTTGAATATTAAATAGATGAATTACATTAAATACTGGTTTTATTTTTATTTTTGAAGAGAAACAAATTTAAGGAATAACTTGTTTCAGAAATGAAATTATATCAGATACTTGTTGTTTGGAAAAAAAAATATGGCCCATTCCATTATAAGTTTCAAAAGTTACATTGTAACCATTTTTTTTAAGAAATTCTGAAGACTGTTTACCATATTGATAATCTACAAGCTATAAAATAAAAGATATATATATATTAACAATTATATTGCATTGATTAAATCATTTAGCAATTATTATATACCTCATCACTATCACCATGAGTCATAAATATTGGTGTGTTCTTATTTGCTTGAGTGGACATCTTATTTAAAATAAATAAATATATACTAATTAGATGTAAATAATTTTTAAAAGTCAATAACAATATAATAATAGTAATAATAATTAACTTGAATAATCTTTTCTTGTATTCTTAAAAACCCACTAAATCTATTATTTATAAAATTTTTGATTAAAAAGGCAAAAAAAAAAAGATAAAGTATAAAAGAATAATTTTACCCAAACATTCCAGCCAAAGGATATTCTGATGATATTCCTGCACCAAGAGCTATTGTAACTCCTTGAGAAATTCCTCCGACAACAATTCGATTAGAAGCAATTCCAGAATCAATTTCATCTTTTATCAATTTTTTTACTGAAAATAAATAAATAAATAATAAATATTTTTTCCAATATTAATATTAACATAAATATTAATATTATACTTTGAGAAATAGATTCCATCACACCATCTTCATCCACCATTTCATCTAAACTTAGAGTTGTAAGATCAAACCTATGATATAATTTATAATTATTAATTATTTGTTATATTCAGGTAAAAAAAATTGTCATAATTATTACCATCCACGCATTATCATGCCCCTATTAATAGTTATTGAACGCATTGGTCTATATCAACAAGGTAAATTTCAAATAAATCAAGTCTTTGCAACTATTATTATCATCTTTTTTATATCATAATAAGCTTACGCATTTGGTAGCACAAATTTTACATGTTCCATTGTTTCACCTATTTCTGTAGAAACTAGTTCCAATCCACGTCCGCTATCACCTAAACCCTATGTAATATATATATATATATATATTTAATCCTTGAGCATTTACACACTTAATATATTAAGGATAAAATGTTTTTTACATGTAAAAATATAACAGTAGCAGTGTGCAAAGAAGATTCTGCCCTTTTAATTACAGAAGTTAGTTGAGACATTGTAAATGAACATATTGAACATCAGCGTGTAACATTTTGTAAATGGTCGAAATTCTCAATATGTTACACTAGTACTAGTATTTATTGTACAAATTATACAGGACCCTCTTCCTGTATATTTTTCTTCATTAGACAGACAGAATGTATGTCACCGCCAAATCAAACGACCGCTTTTTATAATTGTGCAAATCGATTTGAATCCCTATGACATGCAAAATTTTTTAAGCAGAGCAGATTATATATTATTTATTAATTAAAAATTCTTGAAAGCAAATTTTGTGTATTTGGCATACTAAAATAATTGTATTGTAAATAAAAAAAAAATTCATTATCTACTAAAATCAAATTAAAATATCAGCATGCCCTAGAAAATGAAAATATTGTTGAGATACTGCAATATAAACTTTAATAGAAATACATGATAAATCCTGCAGGATTTTCAAACCATGCATGTATTTGTTTAAATGTTTATTCTAGTAGTTCACACTTATTATATATAGCATTTTCATTGTATGTTTGTTTTTCACATTGGATATGGTGAACTGTCAAATTTTCTTTGCCCAAATTCCAAGTTGCCTCAACTTCTAATGCTCTTTCTTTCTATTTTATTAAGCCTTTTCCTAGAAAAAGGATTGTTTTCAGGAAATTTTTGAGGAAAAATTGTTTTGCAACATCTTCAGGTCTTTTACCACAACCAAAACTTGCTGGGCTATTTAATATATTTTAAGTCACAAAGACCTGACACATATTTATGTTTTCATTCTCCAATTCTCTCAGATCACTATCAATATATGGGGCATGGAATTTCTTTTTAACAAAAAAGCAAGGCTGGTTGTCCAAAAAAAATTACAATTTTTACTCTTTGAATGTCTTTTAAAATTTGTAACATAATGATTGACTACTTTTCCAAGTGAAATAATCTTACCACATTTGCAAATAATTTATTTAGCACTGATAAATTAACAAATGAAGTAAGAAAGTTTTTTATTTTTCATTTTTAAATTTTTTTTTAAAAAAAATGAGCAAATATATGTTTTTTAGTCATTCTAAGTAATGCAGATGGATCCATCTCAACTAAATGTTTATGCCATTGAATTAATTCTGCACTAAAATTCCGGACGTAAAAATGAAGTGAATGTCAAGAGAAATTTTTTTTTAGACAGCTTAGCTGATAAATTTCTTGAACGTCTCACATCACTCACTATATCAATATGCGATCTGTAAACGTAACATCATTAAAGTGAAAAGTTTCAGCTACTATATTAAATGATAAAATTAACTGAACCGGGCAATTTTCTTAACATCATCAACATTCCATTTTTATAATATCATAAATAAACCATGTAAATCACGTTTGTTTCTACTAGTGTAATCCTTGCATAATGTAAATAAGAATTATGGTAAATCGAAGTTACAAGCCAACATTTCACCTTTATAATTTTATAGTCCTCAACTGCAACTTTCCTATTTTTTTTCGCAATATCTATCCGAAAGTGTCTTATGTCAACAGTTCCTTCTTTATAATATGTTTTCATGATAATTTATAGTTTTCGATAATATCCCGAATCTACAATCACTAAATATCCCTGCGCGTTCAATAACAGATAATCTTCTACTTTTAGTCATTTTATTAAAGTATTATATATAAATTTTCTTGAAAAAAATTTTCGTAAAAAACAACGTAAATTCGTGACGTGATATTCAAATTATATTATTTAACAAAATTTATATCTAAATGTTTCAAACATGAGATAAATAATCGTTATGGTATTTAGACAAGTTTAGACTTGGGAATTAGGTTTAATTATTAATTGAAAACTTCTGAAAGTTTTTTAAACTCAATTATTTATTTTCGATGATGTAATTATAAAAATATTATTACCATCTACATATTATCTACGTTCTCCTGTTATTATAATAATAATCATAATGGTAATGATTTAACCTTTCTACAGATAATTTCATTGTCGATCTCATAAAATTGAATCCTAAAATGGGATTGTCATCCATCATTTTTGCATAAGCAGATCGATTCATTACCCATAGGACACATGGAGTTATTGTCACCAAATTTGTTCGTCGTGGTTTATCAGTGAAAAATCCCATTTCGCCCACCACAGTGAGCGGTAATATTCTCTCTATTTGTTCTGGTTTATTACTCTCTGCTGAAATCCGTGTGATGCTCAATTGTCCTTCCTCCACCACATACATAAAATTTGGGTTAGATCTTTCTTCCCACAGTGTTGAATCCTTTTTTAATTTTTCTTCTGTGAAATATGGAATTAATGAGTTAAAGAATTCCTCTTTTTCAATGCTAATTTCACCAAATGCTTTCATCAAAACATTTACAAGTCTGTTTCTACTTTTAGGATAGAGCTCATCTAAAAAATTAAATCAATGGATGAATAGATAAATTGAATGATTGAATGATTGATTGATTGATTGATTTACTTACTTTTAAATATATACTTTCCAGCATCTTCAACTTGATGATCACAAAAAGTCTCATCATTAAATAAAGATGGTATAATCTGATGTTGAACTCCAACTTTAATAAATATTAAAAAAAATATATTGTTAACCTTATTTTAATATCAAATAAATAATTTCCAATTTATAAATAATTACCAAGCTGGTTATCATTGAATAGTGGTTTGTGTTTAGCATAATGAGTTCTCAGGAGTGAATCCTCACACCATTCATGTGCCTCATTATATTTACTAAAAAAATTTACATAGTCATTATGTGAATCTTTCCAAAATGACAATTTCTCCAATGGTTTACGAACTTGCTCAGAGCCATGTGATTTTATTCCACAAATTACAAGGTATATTTTTTGATGCTGAAGATGCTTTTGAATGTTTTCAAGCACTTGGACAGCATTCATCTCAAATCCAGTAACACAATACATATCCAAAATTAAGTATTTGATTTGCTTTGACTTCTGTTCACAATCCGCCAGGAATTCATTTATATCATCTTCAATTCCTTTCATTATTCCATAAAACAAATAGCCATGTAACATCCTTGCATGAATTTGACTACCACCAACTTTTTTGAGGAATTGTTGGTCACGAAAATGTCTTCTAACAGAAGATCTAGCTGAATTGTCAGGAAATATTGTTCTAATTTTTCCTTTTCTATAATTTGATACTATGAAAAATGTATGAGAGGTCATAATTCCTAAAATTATTCCTTCAACAAATCCAATAGTCATTATTGCAACTATTATGACTATGATATTGGAATATTCACAATTATTGAAAAACTTCCATGAATCTATTAATGCTTCTTCTATTAACTCCAGCCCCAAGTAAATGATAATTGTGACTATGACTACTGTAGGAATGTAGTTGATGAATATTTGTCCAAAATATACTGTTATACCAATCAAAAACGCAAGTATCAGTCCTGCAACATGATTATTTACTCCCAATTTAATCAATAAAATTGATTCTTCATACTCAAAGGAAACTATGATGAGTTATTAGTGGTATTAGTATTAGCATTAGAATTATATAATTTTCGCTAAATAAATAAATAAACAATGATAGTTCTGTTCTAACCTTGAAGAGTTCCAGATACTCCAGCAATTAAATTAGAAACTCCTTGAACAAACAACTCGTGATCTATATTTAGTTTATGATCATCAATTGAAACCTCCAATTTGCTAATCTTTACATTGGCACTCAACATTGCAAAAAATGTGAGGGTAAACATTGTAGGGATGGTTTCTCCTATTGCTTCCCAACTAATTAATCTAAAATCTATATATTGTTTATAAATTAATATATTATATATAAATAAATCAGCAAGTAAACTTACACACTCATACTTACGAAAATTAGAGTAGAATTCAGACATTGTGATTTGATTATCTAAAGCAAATATCCAACCATCTTCAATCAAAAAATCCAAATCAATGTTCAAGAAATATATTACTAGGTAGAAGCTCAAGAAAATTGATAGAAAGCTTAAAGTGATGATGACTGGAACATGATTGCTTTTAGTTTTGGTTTTACGTCTAATAAATATAATAATGACCAAGAGGAAGAGTCCCAAAAAAAAAGCTAAACTCCACGAGAAAATATTATTCTCATGTAAAATTCTCTTAAATGTCTTATAATTGAGATCAAAATGCTTGGAATGTTTAACTGAAAACTTTACACCAGTTTTTAGTAAGTAGCAACCAATACCACCAAATGTTCCGACATAAATATGTCTCGGGAAAAACTCCAAAAGGGGATTTAACTAGAAATTTTTTTTATTAGAAATAATAATAATATATGCGATATAATATATAATTACTATGAATATGTTATATAGGTTACCTTGAATACTACAAACAATAAAAGCCCAATACTAGTTAGTATGGTACTTAGCGCATAAGCAAATATTGTTGTGTAAACTATCATTGTTTCAGGTACCGATTCAAGATGTCTAAGATGATGTTTAATTATTTCCTCTCTTTTACAAAAGAAAAAGATTATTTTATTTTCTTCTTTCAAAATAGAAAAAATTCGTTGTTGAAAGATTTACTTACACCAAATGCAAAAAT